CGGCTGCTGCGTCGCCTGAGGACAGGGGTCTTTAGGCACCACAGGCTCAAGGAGGGGGTCTTTGCTGCTGTCCTGGCTCTTCTCTTGACTCCTTTCTAGTCCCGATATCTTCGGGATGGCTGGGCCCCTAGCACCAGGGTCGGCATTTTCCGCTAGCGTACTGACTCCTAATTCCTTATCTGCAACAATGAGAGAGAGAGAAAACAGGTGAGAGTGCGACAAGACGGACAAAAGGCAGCTCAGGCTTGGCGCCCGGTGTCACACCCCAGGCAGTCACCACATTTCGTGTCTTACAAAGGAGAGGGCTGACTCGAAACCTAACTAAACCCAAACTCCATTCCAGCAGTATCATGAACCCTCCATCCTTAGCTTCCATCTCATGGTTTATTATATTAAAAAGATGCTCGTGTCTCAATTAATCCATGAAAAAAGACAAGTAAGCCAACAGGTTGAGCATGGTTGCTCGAGCGCTCAAAAATCTCAAGGTGGACCTTGCAAAAAGTCACTACTTTTGCCTTAAGAAAAATGCCCATAAATAGCAGTGCTTTGCTCTGTTCTGTCTTCTGCACGATAAAAGTTGGTTTCACTCTGCTCTTCTCTCCTACGGGATTTGCTTCCCAACTTTCCAGTGCAAGCATGCTAGCATTTCATTTATTTATTTATTTTAAGAAAACTGAGATTTTTACAATCCTGACCTGACTCCAGAATTTGGGGCTCTGGAATAGCACTGGTAACTACCTGAGGACAACATTTTCTCTACGTGAATTTGGAAAAAGCAGTCTCTAACCAATTGTATAAAACCCAATGGAATTAACTACAGAAACATGTAAGCACAAATTGTCAGAATAAGAGAGAAAAGTCCATAAGAAGCCAGGAAATGTCACTGGTTTCTCTACTTATGAAGAGTTTATTTTCTAGGCGCATCCCTTTTTACCCCTAATTACTCTTATGTGTATCTAACTACTCTTAAGACAGCATCTCTATTGCTTGGTCAGCCAAATAAAGAAAGTAAAGAGTTAGGGAAAAAAACTATTTCTGTCTTGGGTTTCTTTCACTGACGTCCAGTTGGAACATCATTCTTTGAAAAAATGGCCAAACAAGTGGAGAAAACAATATCATTAGTCCCGAGTGTAGTTTTTTAAAGACCTGAGAACCACACTCTGCATGAGAGTACGTGCACTCACCTATTCCTCCTCCTCCAATAAACCTCAACAAAAACAAGTCACCTGGTAGAGCCCAGAAACTGTCTACTGCTATATTTTCTACTGTTGTTACTCTACCACCACTCTGTTACTAACTCACCGAGGCAGAGTATGCAATGCAAGCTCTCTGCTTTATCAGACATTATACAGTTTCTAAACCTTGAACACATATATTGTTATTTTTGTTTGTTTGCCTTTTGTTTTGGCTGGTCATGGAATGACTTTGGAATAACTGTTATTATAATTCTAGCATTTACTACAGTGGAGTTTTGCTCACCAGTAATCAACAGCACTTTCTTGTTTGAATCAAACCAACGTTCTCATAAACTTGAGAAGGTGCTTGGTAAACTTGGTGTGTGGTAAGACCTTTAAACGAACTGACTCCAAATGAGAAAGGAGCATGGGAGTACCTTTTAGAGCAATATTGCAAAGTAACTGTGAAAAGGGGAATTTCTTACAGCTTTTTGACTACTAGGAAAACAAAGTGCGGGGAAAACACACAAGATTCAGTAGGGCTTGATAATTCAAAACATACCCCAAAATTTTAAGGAAGTAAAACTTCTCTCATTCTTTGACCAGCCTTAAGGGGTAAAATAAATAAATGAGTAATAAAATGATATATATTCAGAGAAATCTGTTGACAGCTCCAGGGAGGCTCTGGAGGAATAGAAATAATTACTTTGCAGTACTGCCAAGGTCAATCGCATTGCAATTAAAGTGCAGGCTATAAATACAGGAAACTCAGCTTGCATTAATTCTGTTTGATCAAACACTATCAGAAGGTAGAGTGTGATCACAAGTGTCAAACAGGACTCCAAAGAGGGGAAAAAAAGTTAACAGATTGTTCAGGAAGATGTGGTGCATGTTCCCAGCTGTTACAGGCTTAAGAGTTACGACATTTGGATTTTTTAACAGAATGGCATCATAATAAGGCCTTTGAGGGTTTAGCCTTGTCATTAGAAATTCCCTACAAGACAAATATAGGAGGGAGTCTGAAAAAACGGCAGAAGCGATACTCCTAAATCTGCAGGGAATACCTTTACTTGGTGCATTCATTAAATCTTTGTATTTGATATTTTTAGTATCCCTTGCATGTATAACATTTATTCAGCACAGCTCTCCACTGAGGAGCTTGCTCCTCATGCAGCAGCTCCTGCTCCCCTTGAGGACACGGGCCATGAATCCTGGTGTCCCCTGGGTATTTGCTGCTGCTGCTCACATCTTCATCACACAGTCCCTAAGTACCATTGCTGTTAGTTCACAGCTTAGAAGATGCTGTTTTAAGTAGGACAATGATATTCCAAATGTCAAGCGTCACATGTGCGCACACCTACCTCTGCGTTACAGCATGGCATCTATGCTACACCACAGAATGCTGCCGGCTGCCCAGCAATCTCCCTAGCCCCCGTACACCTAGCAAATGCATTTCTGCAGGACTGGTAATTATGACACATAAGCCAGAAAGAATTTTTCATTCCACAGTATCTATTTAAAGAATTGAAATCCCACATATGTGATGAGCGCTACCAATTACATTTCATATGAAGGGTTTAAGTCTTCATCAAGAGCATCTCAAGGTCACACAAACGAAATTACCCATGTTCTTCTGATACATTTTTTTTGCACCACGCATTACTTGGGAGCGTGGGCTGACCAGCTTGCTCTAAGAACTAAGAGGGAAAAAGTCCCTTATGTCACTATGACACAAGCCAGGCACACAAATTTCTGAGTTTGTCTGTCAAAGGAATTTATTTCCATGTTGACTGCTAAAGCAAGCAAGTTGATCTTGTTGATGGCAGTTTCCATATTCTTATTTTAGATGAAGTAAGATTACTCCATCAGTATGCAAAAAAGCAGTAATGGTGAAGTAACTTATACGCCTACACAGGCTTCCCTTTTTCACTGGCTTGATATTGTATCCATCAGCAGTCAGGTTTTTTATTTATTTATTTATTTACCCCCCAAAAAAGAAATAAAGCCATAGTTTGAAGTTTCTTTGTGGAAAACCTGAGAAAAAACATTTACTATGCTTGTGCCGCACTGACAGTACATAGAACCTGTATTTCATTATCATCCCTTACTGTCTACACCCTTCATGTATCTTAAGTCTCAAATTCATCTATTTTTCGCTTAACACAAAAAATATTGTCATCTCTCAAGGTGCAGGACTCCCTCCAAGTAATACCAGTGCAGTCAGGAGTTTGCAGCTTCAATATGATTAGCACTTGGTTTGCTCAGTAACACCGGAGGAGAGACAAGGCCCCACTGTACAGGGCTGTAGGTAAACCAAATGACTGCATGTAAACTAGAGAGACTCTGTAGCTGAGTTCACAGTATATTTTATATACATTCTATGAACATACACATATACACATGCACTCCCATGTGTTTGTATACATGTATATGTTGTAATACATATGCATTTGTATTTAAACCAATATCTATCATATGCATACATATATTTAACAGAGAAATACACAGTGCATGCAAACACTTCAATTAAAAGACATGGATTTTGTATAACGAACACAGTTTATAGGCAGCGTTCATCCAAAATGCTGTTGCCCATCTTCCTAGTGTGCACAGAAGTTAATTTTGCCCTGAAGTCTGTATTCTGGCTCCTTTGTACCTCTTGGGCAAGCCAAAATTGCTAGAAGGGGGCCAGAGCTGGCCACTGGAGACCACCACTGCCACCTCCCGAAACCCAATTGTTGTTCTGCCAACAAGGAGGCCCCACTCAGATTGACCAGATTTTTGAGATTCCCAAAGATTCACCAATTCAGTGCACATTAATTTTGTCTAATCAGGTGTTGTCTGCAAGGGAGTTGGTACATGTTTGGTTGTAGCACACATTATGACAAGAGCTACTAGCATCTCCTTAGGACACATTATGACAAGAGTTGGGGTGCCACTAACCAGCTCAAGCAAGCGAGGACTCCCTGGCTCCGACCTGCAGCGAAAACTCTTGGGGAATGAGGTCTGCTCAGACACCGTGGTTTCTAACGCTGCCACAGTAACTTAATCTCTCTTCTGAATACAAAGTCACCTAATTTCTCTATGTGCAGGTCTGGACAGCTGAACTTGATTCAGAAACAAGACTACGTAAGTGTCCTGCTACTCTCTCTCCCTTTCACATTAGGATTCATCCTCTCTGTCTGACCTGGGAGGCAGAAGGCATCTTACGAGAGAGATCCAGAACAGACACTGGATTTTCTATTCCCTTGAGGAGCTTTGGGGCTAACTTCACAGTCCTTATTGCACCAGTATGGAAATTATAGGAAGTTTAAAAAGCTCTGACGCTACCAGCATTGTCTTTGGGACTGAGCATTCAGCCTACCCTGAAATTTTACTTACTTCTTTTTATAGCATTATTTTTTTTTTTTAAAAATAGTCTTTATTTTTATTCTACTTTGGTAAGTTAAACTCCTCTCTAGACAATACTAACTAAAATTTTCTGCAAGCTCTCTTTATGCAAGATAAAAAACTAGATCTTTCAAAAAATATAAAACTCTTCCTTCTTCAGTTCAAACTTGGCAAGTGGGCTGCAGCCGTCACAAGCAAAGCAAACACGGAACCTCTCTGCAGTCAGTGCAATGAGAAATATAAACCCGCCGACCACCACCCGGGGAGCTACACTTCCATAGGCATTTACAAGGGTTGAAATAAGTAATCAAATTGAAGACCTGATTGTACATTTCATATTGATTAGACATTGGTCAAAGAAACATTTCGATCAATAAAGGCAGATGACAGAAACTATTACTGCAAAGGATGGAGAAGATGGTTGGCATACCAGCCAACACGTGTCATAAAGGCCCCAGAGCAATTCATCTGTTGTACTTGATACACATAATTTGCTAAAAATATTTTTTCATTTTTAGCACACAGTCATCTTTCATCCTAATTTCCAAGGACACTAACAAAATATTTGATTATGCAAATTAAAGACATGCATTCGAAAGTGGGATTACAAGCAG